ACTATCAGCCACTGCAGCTTTGAACTTCCAAGTTCTGAAGCACGCAATAATCGATTATCAGCATTGCAATAATCGATTATCAGCCTTTGCAGCCAAAACCCAGAATCTCCAGAGAGGACCAATAATCGATTATCACTTGTTGACAATCGATTATCTGGGTTACCGTTGTCCTCCAACGGATAGAATTTTAAATTTTTGGACAGGGAATCCTTGGATAATCGATTATCATGGTTTGACAATCGACTATCAGCCTGTGTCCCTGAAAAATTTGTCTTCATCCTGTTGGAAATTCTAGCAACGGGTTTATCCCATTTTGGGCTATAAAATGGCACCCAAATCCTCTCATTTTACACACAATTCTTCAATATTTCAATACTCATTCATTGCATAAGCATTTCTACTTTTCTTAGCTATTTGAGAGCCAATTCTTGAAGAAATTGTCGTGTTCTTGAGCATTTACTAGTTCACTCATATCTACTCTTTGTGAGAGTTTTATTCCTGAGTGATTAAGTGTTTTCATACACTTTAAGGGAGTTTGTTCCCTTGTTGTAAACTCGAAGGAAGTTTCTTTTTCCTTCGTGAGAAGTCTTGGAGTGCGGTATCTCCGAGCAAAGGTGTTGAGGCTCGTGTGATTCGGGTTCTCAAGTTGTATCGGTTTGTTAAGCACCCTTAAGCTTAACGGAGTTAGTGTAGCTCGAGAGAGTCTCTCGGGGGGCTAGATTAGCCACACGTTGTGGTGAACCAGGATAAAATCCGGTGTGCTCCTTCTTTACGCTCTTTACTTTAACGCTCTCGTTTTAATTTCCTGCGATTTTGTTTTTAAACGCTATTCACCCCCCCTCTAGCGTTGGGCCTTTATTCTAACAATTGGTATCGGAGCCATACTCTCTGTAAGACTTAACCGTTTGAGAGAAACGATCAATGGCTTCTACTTAAGGTTCATACGCAGGTTTAGGTGAAGGGCAATCCACCACAAGGCCTCCGTTGTTTGACGGAACGAACTACACCTATTGGAAGGAGCGGATGAGGATTTACATCCAATCCACCAATTTTCTCCTTTGGAGAATTATCAAGAATGCTGAAGACGTGCCAATGAAGAAGGTCGGGGAAACCAACGTTCCTAAGACCGAGAACGAATATGATGCACAAGACATCAAGAAAGTGGAAAACAACGCCAAGGCCATCAATATCATCTATTGTTCCGTAAACCCGGATGACTACCGGAAGATATCTTGTTGCACCACCGCAAAGGAAATGTGGGATAAACTAGAAATCACCTACGAAGGTACGGATAAAGTCCGAGAAGCTAAAATTGATTTTCTAACCCATGAATATGAATTGTTTCGTATGAAGGAGAATGAGAAAATCGATGAGATGTTTGAACGATTCTCCAAAATCGTCAACGATCTCCATGCTCTCAAGAAGACGTACACGGACAAGGAGCTTGTGAGAAAAATCCTGCGAAGTCTCACACCGGAGTGGCGGTCCAAAGC